CTAAAAGCCGTGCCTCGTAGAACTAGTATGCCCGTTAAGAGGGGTTAGCGCAGTGTACGATAGAGTATTAAGAAAGAGCTAGTTTCGGAGATATTAGCTACGGGCGCGAAGCTAGCTTCTACGCGTAAGCGCAAAGCGACAGAGGGCAAAACACTACGAAACAAGGCACGTAGAGCATTATCTAAACGGTAGAATAATAGCGCCGACCTATCTAATAAACCTCCTACTAAGCCTATATCGATATCTAATAGCGTTATTAAGAAATCGCAGTTAGAAGCTAGCTCGCAACGCCGACCGACTTCGCGTATACCTAAAGCTATACTAACACCGAAGCTACGAGCTAATAACAAGAAGCCCTTTAGCGCAGACCTTATATAGGTCGTTTAGTATCGAATAGACGGCAAATAGTATAACATTATAACTATTAATAATGTGCTAGAAGACGACGATATAGACTATGCCTACTCGAGGCCGTATAACAATAAAATAGCGCAGTTAATACGGAAGGTAGAAGATAGAGTAGCTTCCTAGGTGTTCGTAGAAGGACTCGGCTTATACTAACAGATAGACCGTATATTTACTATCTACTATATACGGCTATCTATACCGAAGCGCTCGAAGACTTTCTACGCTATTATCTACGAGGACGACTATTACGAAGAGGTAGCTAAGTTCTTACGCTATTGCGCTAATACTAACACTTACTATATAATTAAGGTCCTTAAGAGTTACAAGCGCGTTGCTATGCCTAATCGACTATTAACTCTACTAAATAGTAACTAGTTTATTAAGATTAATAGTAATCTATTAGAGCTACTACAAGTAGCCTCTTAGGTTAAGAATAGCCGAAAGAATACTAACGATAAGACTAAGGAAGAATGCCGTAAAGACGACGAGGTATTCTCGACTATATTTAAGCAGTTTAAATATAGCGATTACTAGTACGACAATAAGAAGTTAGGCCGTAGAATTAGTTGTTACAAACGCCGTAGTATCTATTATAGTATAATAGGCTCTTACGCGAAGGAATTTGCTAATGTAGTCCGAGTTAATAGCGCTCTTCTATATTATATACCTATAGAGCTTGCTAACAAGATTGTCGCTTCTTACGAAGAATATATACAAGCAAAGACCGCCGCTTCTGCGAAGAACAAGGCCTCTTAGTAACAGTATATAATTGATAGTCTTGTTAGCGCCCTTACTACGGAGCGATAGCAACCGACTAGTGATAGCGGTAGTAGCGAGTCTATCCTGCTAATAGCCTTGCTCTAACAACAGCAATAGTAGTAGTAGTAATAACAGTTCAATCTAATGCTATTGCAGTTAATAATAGCTAACCCTGCTCTTATTAGCGCCCTATAGCCTTAATAGCAGGTCTAGCCTCCGCTATAGCAATAGCTCCGTAGCTCGCTAGTGCCGCCGGATATTAGCACTATATTAGGTAACTATATAGAGATACCTCTCTTCTTAGTCTAGTTCTTCTAATAGTATCCGATATAGTAGGATAGGTAGGAAGCTATTACTAAAGCTATTATAGATAATGCCTAGAATCTACGACAACTGCGACGCTAAGAGAATAAGAATAGGTTAGCGAGAGTAGTGCCTGCCTTCGGCATTAGGCAGGCGCTTCGTAAGCGAGTTATAGACTTTGCTATAATGCGTTAAAGTAGCCGAAATTGAGAGGTATAAAGCCGACATAACAACAAGCTAGCTTTGCTAACCCTAGCTATACAGATTACTACTACTACCTATCCGATTTTGATTCTATAACTTAGAGATACAAGAGGCGATATTATAGATAGACCGCGTGCTTTAAATGGATTGATTTAGATATAATATCGTTAACTTCTAGCGCTATATAGGTATTAAATCTTTAATAGCTAAATGTTTGACCCTACTATTGCTATTCTAACTCGTACCTCGGCTTCTTTAAGCTTAGCCGATAATACGAGTTTTGTTTTCCGATAGATAGTACTATAACTATATATGCGATTTATATCGTTGTTTTTTTATATAAGAGCGCCGCACCTATTGTCGAATGCCCGGCAATAATAATAATAATAATGTAGTGTTGTTGTAATAGTATATAGGATATAGCTAAACGTCGGACATTTCGGGATTTAGTCCGACATACTAAGCCTCGAAATTTCTATACTACTAGGAGACTATATAGTAACTACGGATAGTAACAATATAAATAGCAACTGTTAGAAGTTCTTTAGAAGAGAATACAGCATTGATTTACTATAGTATAGAAGGTCTTAGCACTCTACGCACAAATCGAGCTAGAATTTAGCGCATACTACGATTACTGCCTCTTATTCTATATCTCCGCCGGCATTATCGGACTACATTTATATAGCTTCTCGAGCACTTTACAGTACTTAAACTAAGCTAAGTAGTCGATATTGTTACCCTATCGTTTATATACTAGTTCTAGGTATGTCTAAAAGTCTACTTGCTAGTAAGGTAATCTATACTTAGGCATTGTTTACTAGTGCTTCTTAATCTAGTGCTTGAGGTATTTGAAGCTTAGTTCAATAGCATTATAGTTAGGCGAATATAGTAGAAGGAAGAGTAGGTATATACCCTTCGCTAAGCATATCTCCTTTAGAATAGCTCTTAAATAGGTGCTACAGTTATCTAGCAATATAACTAACCGTAGACCTAGATATAGCGTATAACGTAGCAATATTCGATAGCGTACGAATTTAATAAAGTCGTAACTATTAACGCTGCCTTGCTAGATTAGTAGCTCCAGAAGATAGCTATTAATCGTATATACTAGAAGGACCGTATATCGCTACGAATAGTGTGGGTATTAGACATCCCTTGCTAGAATACCTTTTAGTGCCTATCTACGCCTTCTAAGTGCAGTCTTATTAGAGTTATAAGACTCGTTAAGGCATATAATCTAGAAGGCCGCAAATAACTATAATTTAGCCTTAAATAGAGCCCTTGCTATAGGGTCTCTTTATAAAGCCGTACGAGACAGCAGTTTATATGTAAAGTCGCTACTTAATAAGTAACGACTAATAGTCGATTGTAATACCTATTCTTAGTGATTTTCTAGCAATATAATCTATATCTCTTCTAGCTAGTATATACTTCTTATTATTAAGAAGTCTAGTAGGTCGTCTCGTATAGCTAGCGTAATTATATGCGGCCTACCACCCTTTACTAGAAACATAGTAGCAGTCCTATTCCACCTAGTTATTCGAGTCTAAATAGTAGTACGAGAGCTACGTCTATCGCGGAGTAATAACTATATAATATCTCTGCTCTTCCAACCCTCGTCTAATGCCTATTAAATAAGGTTCTCGTCTTGTTTAGTAAGTAGAGCTATAGTAGTAGGTTGGCTGCTATATAGATCGAGGGAGGGGGGTGCGGCTTTAGGCAAATAGGTGCTAAAAATACGGCTTTTAGGCGGATATGCTACGAACAATACTAAAATAGGTATTAGATACATACGAGAGGACTTAGTATACAAGTTAACATAGTATACAGTGATTTCTAACCGTGCAATAGGTATATTTAGTGAGATGTAGTAGTATAGCTATTAGAAGAGGTATAAGGTGGTAGCCCTCGTTCCCCGCGAAAAACAGTCCGGGCCCTTTTGCAAGGCACCAATAGACCATTCCTGGCAAGGCTTGTTCAGTCATTTGCCAATTTCGGCATTTTACTGCCCTTCTCGCAGAATGAAGTAGTCAAAAAATCATCGTTCGCTTTTCGTTCCTTCGAAGCCAAATCGTTCCACCGAGCTCCATTTGCGCCTGTGTGTGGATTTTGATCCATTCGCTCCAAAAGCTGTTCAGAGTTGGGCCAGATCCAACCTTTCAACCATGATGAAAATTCGCCCTCTTTCACAAAGCAAGTAATCGCATCTCCCTCGTCGGACCCGGCGGGGCGCATTTCACGCTGCCTTTCGGCTGATGCCATCTGCAACAGTAGAATGAACTCGGCGAAGGACCCGTGCCTAAGTTTTGAACCATGCTCTGGGCTGAGATCGAGTCCATCTCCTGTTTGAGGACTGCGACATGCCCCAACGCTGTCCTGGACGTAATTTTGAAGTTTTTCGGGTGCATCTTGGAGATTTATCCAGAAGTTTGCTGCCTCTTCTTCGGGCAGAGGCATGTACTGGCTCACAGCATCTCTGATCAGCAAGAGATAATTCGTTCTCTGGCCCAGATACATGGGGGAGGGTCCACAAGGGCCTGGTCGAACGAACATGTCGTTTTCTGGGCCGAATGAAATGTGCGCAACATCGTTGGGCATGAGGGAAGTGAGAGGCTTTGAGGTGTCGTATGTGATGTGCAGAAAGAGAACTTTTGGAGGTATGTTGATTTTCCTGAACTTGTCCCGGCTGGATTTCAATGTTTCCCCGAATAGAAGGATGTAAAGAATCGAACCAGACCTGAAGGGCACCGCGGAAAGCATTATGTTTTGTGGTTGTTGTGGCGAAATATACCTGTGAAGGAAAGAGGGCTGCAGAAATGTGAAGCCCAGCGGCATTCTGTCTCGCTTCACAGAGATCTCTAGAGTGATGATGGAGTACGGGCATGAATATATAGTATCTAGTTTCGAGAGCAACGCAACCATATCGCCGCTGTGGGAGCCCCTTCCCGGCGGAATGGCATTTCGGCTGACGAAAGGAAATGCATATTGTTCGTTTATGCTGGCGAGGTGTAGATGACGAGGCTGCGAGGGACTGATGATCAAAGCGTTTGGTCCATGGACCAAACGCTTCTGGTATAGCTCCATGTCTTGCCATACACACCCATGAGTGCCACGGGATGTCTCTTCGCTCCTTTTGTGTTCTCCTTGTTCTTACAAAAATGATTTCTCGGGTCGACTCTTTGACAAGCAAAACCGTGCAATGGAACGTGCGAGGTCTATGGTCCAGCGGACCCCACGCGGCGACCAATGGCGGCAGCGCATGCTACACCTGCAATCTAGCTATCCAGTGTCCAGCTATCCAGTGTCCAGCTGTCTACCCAGCCTTACAGTCGCTGCACTCGTTGCTCGAAGTCGCCGCTCGCAGGGGCCACCTTTCGCAGAAGCCACCATTCGCAGAAGCCGCCGTTCGCAGAAGCCGCCATTCGAAGTCGATGCGCTGCATGCTATGGATCGCAAATGAAGAAGTCGGAATGCCGTATAACGTAGATCGCGGAGGAAGTCAAACGTGAAAGAAGTCAAAGCGCTACGTGCTGTGGGTGGTGAAAGAAGCCGAACGTGAAAGAAGCCGAACGTGAAAGAAGCCGAACGTGAAAGAAATCAAAGCACCGCGTGCTGTAGGTCGTGAGTCGTAGGTCGTGGGTTGCGGAAAGAGTCATGAGCTGATTACGATATTAGTATCCAGGTAATAAGGACTCCAGCGCTGCAAGAGACGTACCATATGCGAGAACTTCGCGTGTAGAAGAAGCGTTGCTGATCACAAGTCAGTATCTGGGCATTAATAGACCTGGTACGAGAGACATACCACATGCGAGAGCGTCGAGTGGATGAACGAAAGAAGAGACTGCTGCGGTGCCGGAGTTGAGAGCCTTAAATGAAAAGCCTGAGAGCGGAGCTGCTATTCTGCGATGGATAGTCAGCGTGTTGTTGCGATTGAGATAGATTGAGCGGCACTTACTTGGAATGATGGACGAGGCGATAATCAGAGCCAGAGCCTGCGCCGGTGTCAGTATAGGTTCACAACAGCTTTCGATGGATTGGCCTTGCATACCTCTGCTGTGCTTAAAGAAACTGCAAGTCCCAATCCACGAACAACACACGCTCGCCGCTCTTAAGTTTGACAGCTTCTTTGCCCATGGTCATGTCAAGGCCGCTGCCACCTGTAACTGGCAACATCCAGATCTCGCTGCCAACGATAGCGTTAACTCCAACGGTAATCTGCTTGTTGGTCATCTTGTAGACAGGCAGCTGCAGCATAGGGTCTTTGCCCTTAGGCGTGTTGTCGGTCTGCGCTGGAGTAACTCGCATGGACAGCGATAAACCCTTGGCTGTGCGGTGAGTAAAAATCTGATCAATACGGCCAATGTTGATACCACGATAGCGCACAAAGTCGCCACGACGATAGACTGCACGGCGTTGAGTTGGCTTATCATCGTAGCCAAAGCGCTTGAACCAATAGATGTTGTCAGGATTCGACGGAGTGCAATTCTGGCGATTGTAGTCGTAGTTATATGCAGCTTGCAGCGACTGGCGGAAGTCTGGCTTCATTGCATTGTTCTTAATTGGGAGGCCGATGAACTCGTGGCAGTGATACTGGAGAAGTCGCTCGCCAGTATTGACAATAAGGTGGTCACTGTCCGAGAGAATCGAGTCGATGCCGTCAAGCACAGAGCGGTCATCGTCGCGAGACTGCTCGGATCGAGGAAGCACGCTATCGAACAGCTGGGGGTTGTTCTCGAAGAGACCCTTCATCTGTGCTGTCAACTCCGGCTGGTCGTTGACATAGCCGTTCTGCAATAGCAGTCGAACAGTCATCTCGAGGCTCTGGCGCATTAGAAGATCACGCTCTGCATTCTGATGATTAGTGAGCTCGATCTGCTGCTTCATGCCCTTGTGCTTCATCTCGCCAGCGAGAACATTGGAGTTGCTAGCTGTTGCGTATTCAGCAATCGAGTCGACGTAGTGTTGTCCAATATGGACGTTTGGGCGCGGCGCTTAGCCATGCCACGGTACTCAGCAGCACCCTTAGTCTCTTTAGACTGCTTGTCTTGGGGTAGATTCTGACTGAGATCGATACCGGAGACTAAGATACTCTGACTCTTTGATCGCTGTCGTGTGTGTGGGTTCTTGATGTTAGAAATGGCAGCACACTCCATCAATTCTTGGAAGATGCGCCTCATAGCCACCATCTCGGTCATGTATTCCTTGCGCTGTTAAACAGTATTGATCTTTGACATAAGATGGACATTGGACCGAGCTAGTGCTGCGAAGAAGCGCACAAGAATTGCCCATGTAGGAACAGCATGTTGGAGTTGCATCTGTTGACGTAGAGATTCTGCAACTTGATGCAGCATAGTGCCATTCTTTGATGCTATCTCCTGAACGCCGTCTTGGAATGACGCCTCAATGTATGCATCTTGGAGCCAGGTACGGCACAGAATAGGGGCAATAACAGACCATCGCGCATGTTCAGAAAGACTGTATAAACCAAGGCAATACAACGGAGATTGGAGACGCTGCCACCCTAGCGGCATAGCGAACTTGTGAAGGGCTTTGCCATATTGGATCTGGCCATTAGTAGTCAACATCTCGGCAAGAAGGACTGTATGCACCATGCCAGTCATACCCTTGTACTCAGAGTGCGTTGGATCCGATGGGCGTGAGAGAATGATGTCCAGCGCCGGCGATAGATGTTGGAGCGCAGGTCGATTACCAGCCATACCATACTGCCTACCATATGCAGCGCGAGTCGTTGGTGCAGAAATTGATTCCATGTGCTAGCGAATACGCTCATTCTCGTGATGAAAGCGAAGGTTGGAGATAGGCACATCTAGAGTTCCTCGTTGGTCAGCGGTAGTATAGCAGTCTCGGCATGATACTTTTGCACCAACACCAAGCATGCCAGAGTTATCTTGCTGCTGAACCATATCACCTGTGTAAGCTATCGTGAAAGCGCAGACCATGGCTTAGCCAGAGCCGTCTAGGAGGTCAAGAAGTTGGCCAGCTTCCAAGGCTCGGAGACATGGGGCGATAGCCTCAATCACATCTTCAGTATTGCTGCCATGAGGTCCAAGTGTAAAAGGAATCATATTGCTCGTCCGATTGCGCTCCTGCATAGTCAGGCCTGCGAGCGTAATGTACCAGCCCATCAAGGATCGACGCATGTTGCGGTATAGACCGAAACTATCCATGAACATGAGATATGGAGCGGATATAGCCCGCACTCCATCTTGAGCGTCGAGCTTGTTAAGCAGTGGCTTGCGACCATAGACTATGATCTCTAGCTCGCCGCGAATCGGGTGTGCTTGATAGATTGGGTCGAAGGCTGCCGTCGCTTGCAACAACAAGTCGAACAGCGAAGTCGAACTTGTCTTGTGGTAGTGGCTGCGAAGGGATTCGGCTCTGGTAAGGGTAGTGCATAGCGATTGTACCCAAGTCGAAAGGCTGCACATCTGCCTCGAGGACGAAGTATAATTGACAATCGACAGCAAAAAGCTCCGTAGAAAGAAAGTCTCCACCAAGTGCTTGCCTTGTGTGAGCGGGCAGGTGGCTTTGAGCGAAAAGTGGCACAATTTGAACAACGGTAGATCTTTGGTCACCCTTGTAATCTCCATTGGCGTTGCGCTTACTTGGCTCTCGCTGATCCAGCCAGTTTGCAGTTACTCGGCCGACATGGGTCTTGGAGGTAGCTCTGCAGTTGCAGCTCGCATCTTAGCAGTAGAAGCGAACAAAGTCGGATGGACGGATAGGCCCGCCAGATGTGCCGATAAACTGACTCCAATCGACTGGAGGTGCTGGCATAGGCGGCTCCTCGGCTTCTTCATCGACGCGAGCTGTCTTCCTGCCGCGAGACTTCTTCTTCTGCTGTGGTGGTACCGGCGGCGGTCCGCGAGCAGGCTCATCAGTGTAGCGTGAAGCCGATATGGTGTCGAGCTGACCAGGGTATCGCGCAAATGCACCAGAAGTCGTGCGGATAGAACTGGCCCATGCACGAGAGTGGCACAGCTCAGTAGGCAGATCAGTAAGGTAAGCCAAGCCCGAGTGCATGTTCTTTGCAATGTCGGAGGTTAGTATGCGTGTGAACAGCTGCTGTGGATTGAAGAAGAACAATGGCCTATGGGTAGTCTCCTTGCCAGATGCGGTTGGCAGCGTCTTCTGCTTTTGAAGCGCGATCTCTTGGTATCGCAGTTCCAGCAATGGAAGCACTGACTTCAGGTGCAGCTTGACGGTATCAATAGACTTCGGTAGCTCACCAAGCTTGCTGCCCGGTGCGATCTCGCTGTCTGGGAGAAGAGTCGTGAAGATCTTGTGCAGTGAGGTGTAGTCGGAGCGAGAAATACCTACATCCTGCAGCCAGAGTCCGAAAGCCCGCTCCAGGTTGCTCAGAGTGCTAACCTTGCAGCCCTTCTTCTGGTCGTAAGCTTCGGATTGATCAAGTGGTGATGGGCGAGCAGGTGGTAGCATAACAGTTGTTTGCTGCTGTTGCTGTTGCTGAGGCGCGTGAGCCTCATCTACCTCAACAAACTCTTGGCCAGGGACAGCAGTAGGTTCATCGTCTCTCTGATCGTCGTCTCGCATTTGATACTCAGCGGTCTGAATAACCTCCTCGACAGTGAGCTGCTTGAGGTCTTCAACAGTCTGCTTTGTAGCAAGCTGTAGGCTAAGAATGTCAGGAGTCATATGTGCCATTGGGTCAACAACTTGGTCATCGTCGTCGGCCTCAGCGGCAGTATTATCGCCAGAAGTCTCGATGCTCTGGATGATATCCTCTAGACTATGAGGTTCGCCACTCGAGTCGCCGCCGTCGACTTCATCAGCACTAGCTGGGCCATCCTCATCATCGTGGCGGCGCTTCGTACCAGTCGCCGGATCAGATGCAGCGCCTGGCTGATCGCTTGATGGAGGTGCAGCACCTGGCTGATCGCTTGATGGATTGGCACTCGATTGATCAGCATTCGATGGATCAGTCGGCGCAGCAGCTGGTCGGACAGGCGCTCGACCCAGCGCGTGTGGCGGCAAGAACGTGAAGCGCATCTTGCTGGAAGAGACTGACAACAGCCAGTATATGTATTTTGCGTGTGCGAATTGGCTTTGGGTCGTGTGCAGAGGGTGTTGTTCGTGTGCGGAGGGTGTTGTGCGTGTGCAGAGGATGTTGGAAAAAGCAAAGGTGTGGTGTGCGTGTTTGCAGGCAGTCGCGAGAATAAGGAAGGCGCGTGCACATGCACGCTTCCGTAGATGAATAGAGTCGTTTGCGCAAGCCCGACAGCAGCGTCCAGCACGGAAGAACGTCGTCCAGCCAGCCCCTGACTGCAGCCCTTTTTCGCCTATTCGTTCTTGATGATCGCTGAGTCTTCGCTGAATCTTTGATGGCTGCTAAAGCTTGATGGCTGCGGTGGACAGATGAGAGTAATTCGCGCGTCCGAAGCTGAGGTTGAGGGCTGTATTCGTGAGGGCAGTCTTCGTGAGCCTGTTGCTGGAAAGCTTTCTTAACACATCTGCTGGATGGATGTTGTCTGCTGCTCCAAGTCAGTTCTTGGAAGCTGTGAGAGGTCTATTAGATGTCAATATCATGTCGAAAAGCACAGCAGCCCGATCACTGCGGCACGGGCCTTGCTGGCGGAAGCGGCATTGGGCGCTTCTTCGCCCGCAGAGCGCCAGACAGATCCTTTCTCTATATATATATGTCAGCAACAACATCACAGCGACGAGGACTTCAATCCATGAAGCTTGAATCGATTGGTGAAGGGTGTAGTTAACATAGTCGTGGTGCTGTGAAAGTAGACAATACCGGGGCGGATGGTGGTGGCCTCTGGGACGGCTGAGCTTCACCCTCAGACATCTCGAGCGCGCGGGAAAGAAAAGATCAATTTATATGGCGACTATGCGGTGCGAAATGTGCAGGCTCCCGGTGACTTGGTAATGGTGATGGTGCCTAGCAGCGTGAAAGAGGAACCTGCGACATGGATGAAGTCCAGCCCGGAGGTGCTCAGGCCCTCCGCACACGACCCACATACGCTTGGTACAGCCATTTTTTTGGTGGTGGAACAGTTTGTGGTAGGAATACCGTAAAGAATTTGCAGTTCAGTTTAGCTAACGTGATGCGAGGCGCATTGTAACTCAACGACGCGGCGACCGCACGTGATAACCATTACGTGATGCGTGATGCGGTGCGCAGATTGTGACGCAACGACGCGGTGGCTGGCTCACGAAGCGACTGAGCGACTGGCTAGCTTACTGAGCGACTGGCTGGCTTACCAAGCGAGTGGTTTCGTGGCCTTCGGGGAACCTATATGGACTAGAATGGTCCTTAGGGTATCTTGTAAGGGTAACAATGTTCTTTGTTTTGATTTCATAAAGCACACACCGCAGAAATTTTTACTAATACTAGGCTCGCGTAGAGGAAATCTTCTTCTCCTTCTTCTACTTCTTGGGATTCTCCTCTGGAGACAAGACATCTAGCTCAGCGAGCGCGGAAGAGAGGAGATTCTCGGTTGCAGAAGTTGCGGGTGGTGGGGGTGGGATCTCTGAATTGTAAGAAGTTAGTTAGTAGCGTTGTTTTGCGAATCTAGGGGGAAGAAATATTGCTTACTCTGTAAGGCGCGGTGGAGGCGGGAGTGTTCAGATGAAGAAGGATGCTGGTGCTGGCGAGGACTGGATATGGATTTGGATTTGGTGGATCGTGGTTGTTGTTCCCTGGGGGTAGAGGGAGGAGATGAAGAGGTCGTAGGTGCTTGAATGTCCTCCTTGCGATCAGACATCAACTTGCCCGATCGTGGTGAGGCAGAAGAAGAAAAAGATGTCGCAGGTGCTTGAATGTTCTCTTTACGACCAGACATCAACTTGCCCGATCGTGGTGAGGCAGAAGAAGAAAAAGATGTCGCAGGTGCTTGAATGTTCTCCTTACGACCAGACATCAGCTTGGCCGATCGTGGTAAGGCAGAAGAAGAAGAAGAAGAGGGCGCAGGTGCTTGAATGTCCTCCTCCTCCTTACGATCAGACACCGATTTGGCGGATCGTAGTAGTTCCCTAGAGCTAGCAGAAGCTTGAACGTCCTCCTCCTTACGACCAGACAAGCGCGGCAGTTCCCCAGAAGCTTGAAAGTCGTCCTCCTCGTTGGCACTATTAGCGGGTGATGCAGAGTCGGGAGAAAGGGTTGCGAGAGCGTCGGCGAGCTCTTTGAGCGCGCGTGTGCGTTTTCGTTCCGCTTCTCGGAGTTTGGTGTGCATGGTTGGGAGTCGAAGGAAAGAAAGAAAGAAAGGGGAGATATGAATTTTTTTGTGTTGTGAGTGGTAGTCGAGAAGACGGAAAAAGCAAAAGGCAAAAAAAAAAGAAACTTAGGCGGTGTATCTGCTGGCGTTGTACAGCGTGACGGAAAGCAGCAGCATAACCCAGCCATGTGCTTTTATCTCTTCCACCCGCCCTTGCGGTCTACGGGTAGCTGTCCGAGTCGCATAGAAGGGCGAGACACGTGTAGCTTCACGCGCTTCCAACTGTTCATAGTAGACGTATGGGTGACGAGTGCTTCGAGCACTGACTGTATTGGGGGGCGGAAGTCGGCTCAGAGGTGTGGATTATTCTAGCTCGATCGACTTCAGGTTGCACTGTCTGCGGTGAGTGCCGTATTCGTAGGGGAGGGATCTCGACGTCAAATGTTAGCGAACGATTCGGGGGCGTAGAGAGAGAGGTAACACGTTCTCAGGTAGCGAGGAAATGTCAAGAAACACAGCGCGAGCGCGCAACTCCAGACCCTTTTGGCTCTGATTTCCATTGTATCTGCTATCAGCTTATAGGAATCCCCTTCCCTCGAAGACCTTTAACAGAAGGGAAAGAAGGGTCAAATTTCCCAAAAACAAAAAGCACTCACTCTACAAGCAGCAGCTTCTCATAGCTTGCTTTACATTTCCCTACACCGAGAGCGATTCCTCATCTCGCGTTCATCTTCTTAGAAACGCGTCTCGACCCATATTACAGTCCGAAACCCTTCATGCAGCGCCCAAAACGCCTGAATCAATTGCTCTCGAGCCTGGAGCGTCAGGCCAAAATAATCTTCTTCTTCTCCTCCTCCTTGCTCATGAAATCCTAGGATTCGACCCGGGACGAAGAAATCCAGGAGAGAGTCCGAAGCAGAAGAAATGTCCGTTATGGTTGTTGTTGTCAACTTCCGCAACTTGGCCTCGGCATACGTGACATTGGCAAAAACTGCCTGCGCGACGTGACCCTCGTTGTGGTGCATAGCGGTTATGCGAACGAGGTGGCCCGCCTGCCGGAGGAGTTTGAGGTAGTCGTCGGCAGTGTGGGCCCAAGAATCGCGGATGTGGATCGGGAGAGAGACGTCGGAAGTCGGCCAGAGGATTTGGTAAGTGTAGGAGCTGGCCTCGGACCAGATATCGACCTCAGGACACGGATGGTGGGTTGAAGGGACATGGTAGGGGTTTGGCCACCAGGAGTAGGAAGGAAGACACCACAGGTTGGAGGTTTGGGCGGAGAGGGCTATGGCGGCGAAGTCACGTTGGGCTTGCTGGAGGGAGGTGTAGTACGGGTCGGCGGCAGCAGCGTTGGTAGTGGTGGTAGTGTTTGATGGGCCGATGACGTGGGTGCTAATAAGCTCCTTAAGTAGGATCACCAATAAGGGTTGGAGGATCCAACGCCAAAGGAAGCGAACGGCTGGACGTCTGAGCTGGTTGAGGGTAACGTCAATGCGGAGGCGGAATTGTTCGAGGATTCCTGGAGGTGCTGGAGCTGCGTCGTCTGGTAGTGGAACGTTTGCAGCTCGCATAACGCATTCTTCGCAGGAGTCCATAACTGCTGACTCCAATGCTGCTAGTGTTGCGATACTTGATAATGCGAGGGCAAGCGTGTCCGAGTCGCTTTGTCGGTCAAGGTCTTGGGTAGGAGTCTGAGCAGATGTTAGTAGAACTCGAGTCGAGGACGTGTGAGTGGAAGGAAAGAACACATGTGTGGAAGAAGAGGGATTTTATAGGGTTGCTGGTTCATGTGAAGAAGGGGATTTGGTGATAAGTGAATGGTCCGGGACAAGTGAATTTGCCCAGCATTTACAATGCATTGTCGTGAGAAGTAATTCGCCACGAAAAGCATTGTTCTGTGTGCATGTCGTCTGTTGTTTCGAGACTGACCTGAATGGGGCTCCTCTCGGCACCAAGACCAGCATCGTCGTGCTCCTCGTGGGTCCAGTTTTTGGCATTGTCGCTGTGGAGGGGAAATGGCAGGCACGATGGTCGGAGCGCGGAAGCGTTGGTTTCGTAAGTCTTGACCAAGTCGGCGACTGAGGCACGGCGAGAACAGGCATGATTGGCATTGCAATCGGATCTTTCGCTTGCAGTCGAGACATCTGAGAGTCGGCGTTGGGGAGGAATGAGAGGTTGATGTTCCGTGACTGAAGCGTACTTGCGATGCAGAGTGCGAGTGCTGGCGCTTGGCGAATGCATCATGGTACTGGCGCAGGATTTGAGGCAAGGCAGAGAGGAAGAAAGGAAGGCGAAGGTTCGCATGGCAGGCAACGAAGACGGGAGGTATCTCGTCCATTTCTACCTACATGCATCATGGATCCGCTGCATTGCTCGCGACTCATCAGCATCGACACCTTCCATCGTGTGTGGTTGTGGTTATGGTTGGTCGAGCTTGCGTCGGCGCTCAGGAGAAAATGATTGGCGCCTTTGCGGAATGAGAATGCAAGCGCGTGCATTCCGCAAACACTGCACGCATGCAGCCGCGCTCCATACTTCTATCCTCTCGCCTCGTCTCGCCGCTCTTCTCCATCATGCGAGCACCGCCGACCACGACCTGCTCTTCCCTTTCCTCTTTCCTTTTCCGTCCATGGCAGAACGTGCGCGCGGAAGGGGCGCAGCGAGCGCGGGAGCGGGAGCGAGAGCGCGGAGGGGAGCGAGAGGAGGCGGAAGTGCGACTCGCAGCAGCAGCAGAGGCAGAGGCAGAGGCAGAGGCGCGAGTAGCAGCAGAGGCCGAGGGTTGAGTCGAGGTGGCAGCACGACTCGCAGTAGAGGCCGAGGTGGAGGTGGAGGTGGAGAGAGGGGGAGTAGGAGTGGGAGTGGGAGTAGGAGAGGGAGAGGGCAAGGGCGAGGGAGAGGGCAAGGGCGAGGGCGAGGGAGGAGGCAATCGCAGAGTCTAAATCGCCAGGCCGAGGCCCAACTCCTCGCTGACTTGGCGCTTCACGCTGCACCGCCAGCACCACCACCGCCACCGCCTCCGCCACCGCCACCGCCTCCGCCTCCGCCACCGCCTCCGCCACCGCCACAGCCTCCGCCACAGCAGCACCCTCCCCATCGTCGTCGCTGCGTTCGTCTCTTATCTGCCGCCGTCATCGCCATTACATGTACCGTTGCAAGCGTCTACTTCGCCTTCCGACATCCAACTTCACTATCTCCGCCGTGTCATGTCCAAGGCAATCCCAACCATCTGGCCCCATGCGCCCTCTTCCCTGACTTGAATCGTGTCTTTCGCTACCACCCCCGGCGTCCCGACCAGGGAGACGACCGTCGACTGTCCGGCACATGGCTCGACATTACGAACATAGAGATAAAAGCCTGGGTCAGAGCCTTCCAAGATGTCTACTACCTGCGGACTGACGAACTGGCATTTGTAACCCGGGACTGGTCTTCAGGATTTCCACTCCTCAAGCGCCTTCCGTCATGGCTGTACCCCCAGGATAATCACACCGTTGCGGCTATGGCAGTCTTCGAAGAAGCCCGCGCCCTCGTACTGGAATTCACAAATCCGCGAGGCCTGTTTCTTGTTCATCTCAACAAGGCCATCCATGCTCTCGATCATGCTTCCGAGGCCCGTTGCGCCGTAAACGCCAGACTGGACGAGCTGTCGGCCAAGTTTGGCAATAATAATGCTAATGACACGCCCGGAATCGAAGCCGAGCTGAACGATCTTCGGCGCACCATGGCGCGCACTCTGGTCCACCAAGCTTTACTCCACAGCTTTATTGCTGCACGCCACTCTCAGCTACAAGAAGCAATCGACTTGTACAACCACGTCATCCTCTACGAACCTCCACAATCATTTTCAGATATGAAACGAGTCCTAGGAACGTGGAACGACCAGATGGCTGATATCTTCCACGGCTCCTCAGCGGCAACACAAACCGCCAAGAATATGGATTTCGTGGGTTTTGTGCGGCGCGAATTCGAGTACTGCATCCCAAAAGGTTTCGAGTACAACACCGCCTTTGATAACTTCACGGAGTATTCTTCAGCATATAGGGGAAATGCCTCCTCTCCCTTTCGCTCGCAAGATGCCCCCGGCCAACATCAGCCACTAAATCATGATCGCTTCGGTCTCGGCTGTTCCACTCACCCTGATCCTGTCTGGTGGGAATGGCACAACGCAGTTCCCATTAACATGACTTTGGCGGCCGACGAACAAGCAGCGTGCCGCCGGAATCAGGACTGGTACATGGGCTCAACGACTGATGGTCAATGTGGGCATAGGACGTGGGTGAGGTTCTTATTCCCTCTCTCCGCTGCCGACGAGCGTCGGAGAGCTAACGCGGGTCACGTGCCAGCCGTCGCAGTCCCGATCGCTGGCTATGGGATTAGTGCTAGAGTCTTTCACCTCAAGCCTTGGACGGGCATTTTCAGGCTGAAATGGCGTGGGTGAGCAGAGAGAAATTGAACATTCCATCGACACATGCATACCTTATCATGCCCGAACTTCTTTTTACTTTCACACCAACGTCTATATACGTACTCATTTAATGAATGCACCACACAGCTATGTATGAGAAGGATGTGACTGCCTGCTCTCCAATCATCTTCCACCACTTGATGTAACTGTCTCGAGGCAAACACTAGTCGAAACTCATAGCAAAGAAGAAGAAGAAGAAGAAGAAGAAGAAGAAGAAGAAGAAGAAGCAAGACCTCTAATAAAAGGCAGCGCGCTTTTGGTTGAATGGTGGTAATAATATCCAACAAAAACACACTACATAGCATCACAACCCAGCTCGAGCCAGACAGATACGGCGACGGCGGTAGGGTAGTCGGCGCGATTTGTAACTGGAATACAACAGCAATTTCCACAAGACACCTTTCCACACTCGCGCAGAATACATATTACCCTGATCCCACCAAACACATACATACATATTATTACCCTAATCAAACCCACTATCACGAACCATAACCACCAAACTCGTCATCGTAGCAAGAGTATACAACGCAGCATCCCAGTTCCGCGCTAGACAGACGTTACGGAGCGTGGCGGTGTTGCCGTCGAGGGCTTGGAGGAGGGGGGGTAGAAGATCGGGGCTTCGAGGAGGAGGAGGAGGAGTGGTGGTGTTCTCGGCGGGGGGAGATGGTGGTGGTGGTGGTGGTGGAATCTGGATGTTCTGCTGCGGGATAGTGGCGGACGTGGCGGTCGCGATGGAAGAAGAAGATGGTGGTGGTGGTGGGGGGATGGTGGGTTTGACCGGCTGGGATGCGATGGTGGAGACGCGATTGTGGTGGTCGGAGAAATACGGGTCGTCGTCGTCTTCGGTAGAGGAGGGAGAGAGCTGTGGGGAGGAGAAGATGTTAGGGATAAGAAGAAGCAGGAGGAGAAGGAGGGATTGAGACTCACCAGGTGTAGGGGTGGGATGCCGGCCTTCTGCGCGGATTTGGATGGCCGGGGAGAGGTCAGCTTGTCCTCCGAGGAGGATTCTTCGTCGTCTTCTTGGACGGAAAATGGATGGGATTTGCGGCTGCGACGCTTCGGTGGTGTGGGAGAAGTAGGGAGCGTCTGAAACGCGATGTCTGGAACGAGTGCGTGCATGGCTTGTGTCGAAGGTGCCGGTCCGGCTGGTACTGTGCAGGAAGAGGCCAGCTCGTCGTCAGAAGGTTCTTCGTTCTTTTGGACGAACGATGGGAGGGATTTACGGGTGCGACGCTTCGGTGGTGGAGGAGAAGGAGTCAACGTCTGAAAGGCGACGTCTGGTACGAGTGCGTGCATGGCGTCAGGCGAAGGTGCTGGTTGGAGTGATAGTGATTGTAGTGAGAGTGGTGCGGATAGTGATTGTAGTGATGCTTGTGGCTGGCGTCGAGTCGACTTGGTGTTCCGACGAGGACCGGTATGCTGTGGGCGATCGACGGGCATATGGTGGAGCAAGTTGCGCTCCTGCATGGACGAATGTAGGATTGCCTTGGTAGGCATCTTCTGGCTTGGGTTGGCTAGCTCTGGATAGTTGCGTAAGATCCAGGCGAGCAGATTGCGCTTATTACGCTCTTCGTCTGCCGGTGGATGTGGAAGAGGCGGCGACCAGACAAGAGCGTCGTACAGAGTGTTCAACTCTGCCCCCGTAATGGCATTGATGTATACTCCGGAGTCACAGCGACCATCGACAAACTCTTCGAAAGCTGCTTGCGAGGCGGGAGCCTTGTAGTTGCAAGGCATGGTGATGTTGCGATGTTGAAATGCTGCGAGACTGCGCGGCTGTGAAGTTGGAATGCTGGGGGGCTGTAAAGGTGGAATGCTGCGATGTTGCGAGAATCACAGGTTGAGCTGTTGCGAGGTACATGTAACGACGTTCCTTACACTTGCTGGACAACGATGGGCAATCAAATGGGAGGCGTGGACACGGAAGGGAATGGCGATGATACGTAGTTGGATGGACGTACGTGGTTGGATGGACGTACGTGGTTGGATGGACGTACGTGGTTGGATGAAAGTACGTGGTTGGATGGAGGTACGTGGTTGGATGAAAGTACGTACAATACATGTAGTTGGATGGATGGGTGAGAGAGTCGTGTTTGTGTTTGATGGCGATGGCATGGCTTGGCTTGGCATGGCGCATTGGCTTTCGGCAACGCTTCGGGCACGGCCCGTATTCCGTGACCAACCAGAGCTTCCTTGGTGAAGAACTTCGCCAGCCAACCCAACTTCAACATTTCGAAAGAATCAATATATCATTGCAAACGACCGCGGCAAACGCTTCCGCTCGCCCACCACAGCCACCTCCCGCCCATCTGATCTCCCTACAACTGACCGGCCGTCCGATTGGTCATGCACGACCCAAAATCTCATTCGTCACCTTATCTGCACTTCTGCTTGGCCTCCAGACGTACGACAGTCAATACGCTTGAACTGTGTCGTCAACGATTGGATGGGCGCACATCAGCTTCTACTGGATCGATTCGGGAAACAAGTACGCTGGAGTCTGCGTATAGTACAAGGAGCATCCTCTCTCTCTCAAGTTCCGACTACACCAATCCCTTACAGAATCACCCACTTCCACCCTGAACACCCCGACACCATCCCCTTCCGCTTTACACTGTTCGCATCCCCATTGTGCTCAGGCGAGTGAAGTAACATGGTAAGCTTTCTTCCTTTGGAGCTCCAAGCATGATTCGAAGCCTATGCTGACCTTCTGGTGTTCCCTCCAGGCCGGCCTCATTCTTACCGTTCCAACTTCCTATATTCAGCCGCAGACCCTTCCGCCCTACGCCGTCAACTTGGACAGCGTCGTTCTCAACAACCCGGACGGCGACACTGATCCCTACCCACTCCTGCAGCCTTCTCGTCTTACGCAGCGAGTCTATGCCAATATTACCCTTGGCTTTCTCGCTGGTCAAGGCACCGCCAAGCATGGCTGTCCTTCTCGTATTGTCTGGAGCACCAATGATGTGAATGTGACGGTAAGTCTTGGCCCAAACCATTGACTTCCAGCCTTACACATGCCTAACCTTATCCATTCTAGATCCTCCTGTCATGCGCCAAGCACAAGATCTCTTCCGATGAGTATATCTCTGCCAACCAGGTTCACGACTTGCTCCACGATGCCCCAATTCCGACCCAGTACGGTCCCGCAGTCTTCCGTCTTCTCCTCGGGCGCACCTTGGATTTCATCCAGAATCATGTCAATTCCGAGAAGCTTCCTAACGCAATCGTGATCCGCGACAATATGGTTTTCTGGAAGAAGCATACGCGTGCCTGGTCGAAGCTACAATCTCCCAGCATGGAGGACCTCAAGAAAGAGACTTCGGATAGCCTTCGATCACACGAGCCGCCGACAGTCACTTATGGCAAGAAGGTCCTTGTTGACACCGTAGTCGCTGAGATTGCAAGCTCCGGAATATGGGACATTGCTCCTCCAAAGGCCAAAGTCCCGTCCAAGGCAAAAGGCTCTTCCAAGGCAAAGGACTCTTCGAAGAAGCCACCATCTCGTGGCACGCGCTCGGCGTCTCTCATCGCACCCGTCCCGACAAGCCCAGCTCCCTCTCATCGGCAGCGTCAACAGCAGGACGGACCTACCACCCCTCTCCATAACCCTCCCGCACCAGTCTCTTCCAAGGCCAAGGCCTCTTCGAAGGAGCCATCTCGCGCCACTCGCTCGGCATCACCACCGACAAGCCCAGCTGCCCCTCGCCAGCACCATCGACAGCACAAGACACACCTTATCTCTCCTTACAGCCCACCGGGCACGCCAGCCACCTCTCCTATCCCGTCTACTGCATCTGAAGCCTCTCATCATCCGACCTCTCCGCCCTCCTTCTACGCTTCCCCGGCGAGTGTTCAATCAATGCTAGACGGTGGAGGAGCACACAAGCTTATGGAACTTCTGAAGGAGCAAGGCTCTCGCTGCCGCCAGCGCGCCTCTGAACTCAAGGCAGATCTTCGCGCAGAGGTCTTGGATCGCAAGCTCGAGCATGAGAGACTCGCCGCACAGTGTTCCGCCAGCACCAACGACCTCCTCAAGGCCCACTGCACCCTCAACGACTCCCTCTTTGAGCCCGGTGTGCCTAGCAGCCTGGTCAATCAGTTTCGTCGGTTGGCAAGCCGCTCATCTGCTACCGAAGCACAACTTTGAGCCCGGTGTGCCTAGCAGCCTGGTCAATCAGTTTCGTCGGTTGGCAAGCCGCTCATCTGCTACCGAAGCACAATTGCGCGCCCTGCAGAAGGAAATGCAAGTACGGAGAGAGGAGGTGGAGTGAAGATTCTTTTCCTTTTTCTTTTGTCTTTCGGTTGTATCTTATTGGGGTTTTTATCAGAACATTGGTACATGTACGGATTGCAGGAAGAAACCGGAAGAACCGCAGCTGGTATGCGCCATCTTCTTTTGTTTTTCTTTTTTTCGGCTACCTAGACAGTATTGTACACGATTCTCGCGTCTTCCTCTAATGGAATTTTTTCATGTACTTTTCGTTCAAGTATAATTACGCTGCCCTTGCACAAAGCACGAACAGACCGGCGACCAACCTCGAACACTTCGGCAAGCAGCCTCAACTTCATCCACTCTATGCGTTGTTAGCTGACGTATAACTGCTTGTGAATGAGGTAAAAACACGAGCAGCATTTATTTGCACAACATACTTTCCACGATAGCGCTCGTCCTCCCGCAAGTAAGCTTCAATCGGCTCATGTACATTTGAACAAGATATTGTAGCTAAGCACGGTGCATAGTTACGATGACCGTTTACAATTTTTTGGATCAACTATTCTAGCTGGTATTGTCTATTTGAACAACACATAGGCAATCCATTATTGCGAAGTTCTGCAGCGTAAAAGCAGTCGTGAAGCATACTATGAAGTGGTAGCTAGCAAGGGCATTGCGAGCGAGCGAGCGAACCTCAACCAAAAATGGGCGAATCGTTTTTGAGTCCATCGTGTCGCATCCCAGATCCGGCTTGGCCTTCGTCTTGACCTCGTCACACCACTTGCAAAATTCGTGCACGAGGTTCACTTGGAACTAGCTCGTCTCGCATATAAAAAAGTTGATCTGACCATTCATTCAGCTGCATCATAAGTGCCTTGATATGGTTCCACGCGCTCGTCTCCCGCGCACCCATAGCATTGTTGAGGTCGTCAATCTTGCTACGTAGAGCAGCCGCCTCCGTAGTCAGGGAGTCTACGACATGCACAGCCCCTCTCGAGCCGTACTTGGCAACGTCCTTCTCGGTGTCTTCCAGCTGTTCCAGTAGCTTTGGAAGCTCAGGAACCGGGTTCGGCGCTGCAAAAGGAACAACAAGGCTCTTCAGGACCTCCGAGGCGATTATGGCAACGATTCGGGAGTTTGCCGATACCAGTGCCCATTGATCAATGAGAGACTGGGATTGCAAGGCAGTCCTCTGAGTTGTGTGCTCGTACATATAGTCCAGGACGTCGGCGCATGATGTCGAGCTTGGAGGGAGCTCCACATTCGCCGGGTAAATCATGCGGTTGGGACTAGGCAATTGGGGAAGTCGACAGTGTGCGAGTATCTCTCTCTGGGACTCAGGACTTCCTGTCCTGAACTTGTGCACTATGCGAATCGCTCTCTCCCACACTGCAGGGACCACACATTCAAGAAGGGTTGTCTTCAAGCCAGTTTTGTGCGTGACGACGATGGTGCCTGCAATGACGCATGCGGACAGGATACTGCCATGTTCTGCTACTGCGTGGCCAGAATTCATCGTCGGAGGTAGCTTGTGGACCACGTTGCTCGTATTCCTCCTCATCGAAGCGCTGTTGAGGAGCGCAAAGTCGGCATTCTCGGCGTATACTGTGATCTTCACTGGGCCCGAGGAGCAATGGACGCAGGCAACTGGAATCCCCTCGGCTGCTTCATCGTGAATGACGATGATATTCAGGCCACCGGCTGTTGGCGAGCTCATCTTCATCCATTCTGTAAAGTCTGAGATGGTGGAACGCCACAGGGAAGAGGGTGCCTCCAGAGCAGTGGAGAGAGTGGCAAGCCACGAGTCTAGATGATCTATCGTGAGGCACTCCGCAGGCGGCAAAGCAAGCCGGTGCAAGCCAGCGGCATCTTGATCGAAGGCGTTGGTGTCTCGGCGAAGGCGTTGAAACATCTTTCCGGATGGTGTATCGTTCTCTATAGGGAGTCGAGTCCTGACGGGTTGATGTCACTGGGTAGGTGGGTGGGTGGATGAAGGTGAAGGTGGATGAAGGTGAAGGTGGATGAAGGTGAAGGTGGATGAAGGTGAAGGTGGATGAAGGTGAAGGTGGATGAAGGTGAAGGTGGATAAAGGTGAAGGTGGAAAGCAGGTGTAACGCTGGAGAAGGTGCGACACGTCGTCGCCAATTGCACTTTTCTACCTCATCGTTATCATCTACTATAGACTCTTCAGTATGTACATATAGCCTTCCCGTCTCGTCCAATTCCACGTCTTCCGATTCGGGAGACTCTTTGCCTGTAGCAGAAGTGCACGTTTTCTAGCTAGTCACGTTGGTGTTTAATGCTCTGAATCAAACTGGCATGCACTTTGCCGCTCTCTACCCTACATGTGCAGATTCACCTGATGGAAAAGCCTCGCATAGTTCAGCCCTCTAACCGGCAGACTGAACGCGGTCCCACGAATTATTATTATTATTATTATTGATTCCATTTATAGCCCGTTCCTCAGCTGATCTGAGTGCGGCTCTCGGCCGCCAGCTGTCTTCTACAAACGCTATGCCAGGCTCTGACTGTCTATGGACCTCCTACTTGCTGCCATTGCTTCCTGCCCGTCTGCTTTCTGCCCGTCTGCTTCCTGCCCTCCTGCTTCCATCACCTTCTCAGAGTAGTGTTCGTGGGGAGTACTCAAGGGGGAAAAAGGGGGAACGGGTAACAAGCAGTGTCCTGCAGTGTGGTGGTACCGTCCTGTGTGTTTCTCATGTGTTGTGACCTGACCTGGCCCGCGTCTCTGTGATTAATTCACGCCATGCTTTATGGCTCTCCCGCCTCTTGCGGTCCCACAAAGACAGTAGACCATTAGCGAACGCAATGCCGTCAAACCAATACTTACGACCCCGACACCCTCTTAGAAGCCACATTCCAGATCTCATCCCCTCGAACACGGTAGCGAGTGAGAGACTGAGAGACTCCACCAACTTATGCGTGTAACACCTATTTCAATCGTGATATGTAGTATTCCTACGGCTGAACAGGCTTTCCATCCAAGTAACGAAGATGTCTTTAAAGAGGCAGCAGGACAGCGGAGGCGCGCATGCTCAGCATGAACAGGAGTTTTCGTAGTCGTGGCAATAGTTCGCTGTCGCTATATAAATCTTCGAAGAGATTTCGGGCAAAGAGACCGGGCTTCTTCCTTGTCTTCTTCGCAATTCGCGCGGCTTCTAAAGAGGGCGTTGTTGAGGCTGCCTTGCGTACCTTACTTAGGCTGGTATGGAAGCTGCACGTCTCTTGTGTAAGCCGATTGGGTGCATGTCCGAGTTCATGTTATGGTTATGGTTGTAATAGCGAAATGCCTACCGGTCCTGAGGAAATCGTCGAAAGTGCGATGCCGGCCATGCCATGCCCATGAACCTCCACGCTCCCAGTCGTGTGCAACGAAAAGTCTCGACTGTGAATGAGGTCGTCGGATAATGCTAGGCTCTGCGCTGGCTCTGGCGTCCAGTTCGGAATGCTGTACCAAGCTGTCGTCGACATGTGTGGATGAATTCGCTCACCGCTCGCCTTCTCGATGGCGCTGGCTGACATGCTGTTCAACTCTGTCCTCGTTCCTGTCGCAGTTGCCAGCGCGAGTTCGAATAATCCGAATGGACAGCGGCATTCTGTGCCAGCGATGGAAGGAGCGCAGCGCTCGAGAGGAGATGATGCACAGCCATCGACCACGGCCAGTCACTGCGATGCACTGCAGAAGGGAGGAGATAATCGAAACAGTAATAACAGCACTATAGAGTCAACTCCTCATCAATCTCAACTCGGATCTTGTCGCAGAATCGACGATTTTCACCGCGCTGCTACCGATCGCAAGCCAGCTCCAATACGTCTCGATTGCTGGAATCCCCACGAGCGGACGAGGGGACGAGGTGGACGAGCGGACGAGAGTGGACGAGCGGACGAGGGTGGACGAGCGGACGAGGGTGGACGAGCGGACGAGGGTGGACGAGCGGACGAGCGTAGGGAGAGCCGCTATCTCGAGAGCAGCAACATGGCTTCAACTCCCCAATCTCGAGTCTTGCGTCGTGTCGCCTTCGACGATTACAAGCACCCCGCCAACGATCGCAACTTGGTTTCGCGTAGGTCTCGAGCACTGACATCACCTGGGACGCGCACTCGTCTGGGAAACTCCTTGATAACACCACGCCCTGCCAGCAAACTTGCTCTCGGACGATATGCCCAACTGCACTCAGCTTCGGGCGAAGCACATAGTCCTATGCAAGACTTCACCCAAGGTACACAAGGCCGCAGGGAGAACACGGAGTCTCGGGTGTCGCGCCATACTGAGCAGACACTGCACACCTTGGGCGAACAAGTCAGCGACCTCGACCACGCACGCCTGGACGATCGTGCGGCCAATGCAGGAGTCCTTTCGAGCCCAACGCCGGTACAACAAGCCACGCCATACCTGCGAACACCAGCAAAGAGACCAAAAGCGTCCCTACACCACCTGCAAGGCTCAGGATCACCAGTGATGAGTGCTTCGCCAGGCTCGTTGCTTAGAACGCCGGCTCGAAGGTTCAGAATAGCGGCAATAGACGACCATGCGAAGCCGGCCGAGGACATTGTTCTGCCCACAGACGTAGAATTCACACATATTTGGACTATAAGACGATCTGCACAACGTCGTCGAGCAGGTGAACTATAATGCGTTGAGTATTTACGCAGACCTCGCATTCGCATCGTCGCGGGACAATGGATTTCTGCAGCTTTGGCGCGGGAGTGTGTATTGCCTAGAAGAGGAGCGAGGTATACAATCTTGTATGCTAGATGTACGGTGCATTGTTGATAGCTCAAACGAAGATTATAGCATGGCATTCACACCATCGACGAACAATTCTCCACTCTACATCTACGAGATTCCTTCTCCTCCTCCTTCGAAGAATCCACGAAGCTGGCTATTAGCTCTCTCTCCCTCGTTTCTCCCCTCCCGTTGCTGTAGTTCTCATTTGCTACGTCAATCCACTTCATGCCTGGTTTCTTGATTTTGCGCAGTTTCGACAAGCAAGCTAGGCGTCGTGGTAGTGGAAGACTTGAATCATGTCTCCGGTAATGTTCATGCAATGGTGGTTGAGGTGGAAACCAGCGTACAGGTGTGGTGGAGTGGGTTTTGAAATCCAGCAGGTCGTCGGCTTGCAGAGGATTCTGTTGCTAACGTTGCTAGTCGAGTTAGCAGAGGCTCGGGACGGTCACTACAGCTTTTGCAGATCTGCGTAGGGAATCTTCCGAAGACATGCGTGAAGCTGATGCAGGTAGTTATGCGGCATCTGCAGCAAGCCCTTCGGGAGACAGGCGAGCCAGGCCATCTCGTGTGCGGGCGTATAATATACTGCGGAGGTGGCTCTTCTCGGGAGTGTTGTGGTTCAGTCAGGTAATATGCTAGTCAGCTGATACCATTAGCTAACCTATGCTAAGAGGAGGGACGCATAATAGGTATATTAACTGCAGTTTCTATAGTAGGCTCCTAATCCTTCTTTATATAGTTATATAGTTGTTAATCCGATAATTAGTTGCATCCTTAGTACGATTTATAACAGGTTATAAGCCCGGCGTATACGCTTACCTATCTAGTTTAACTATAAAGAACTGTTTCTAGAGTCCACTAAACAGAGCTAGCTATCTAGACCTATTAGGTACCTAGTTAAGAGCTCTAGTTTAGACTAAAACCTAGCAAGTATCCCTTATAAGCCCTACCTAGTACTGTACTAAAAGGTAGCTAGGAACGATAGATACTAATTAGATAAAGATAGCAAAGGAGAATTAGGTTCTTAGGAAGGGGATTAACTTCTAAGACTAGAAGCTTATATTCTAGGCGGCCCTTCTAGAAAAGGACCTAGTTAGTATAGTATTCTGTAGACTTAACTAGGCTAATAAAATAAAACTACCTCTAAAGAGCATGTTTATAGGGGACTTAGCTAGTTAGCAGTATAGAGATATGTTTAGGGACTAGAAAAAGAAAGACATCTAAGCCCTAGGCATACTTATTGCTAGACTCGACCCTGCCCTTAGACTAGACTTTAGTAACACACCTAAGTTAGCTAAGGATATATACGACTATATTAAGGCTCTATATAAGCCTATTGTAACCGTAGATATATTTAATACTATCAAACTTATTAGGCATATTAGGATGCCTCTTACTAACCTAAACACCTAGTAGTACTACGAATCTTTTTAGCAATAGTTTAACAGATTCTAAACATTAATAGAACAATTTGCTAATTCAGTTATAATAATAGCAGTACCTATAAAGTTATTAGACATTAAAATGCCTAACATGCTTGTTAGAATGCTGTTTATTTAGGGCCTTTCTAGTTACGAATAGCTTAGATCCTAGAAGTATAACAATAAGCCTAAAGCTAAGGACTCCTCCCTTAAAGCAATAATAACGTCCCTAAGGAGAGAAAAGCCTCCTAGATAGTCATTTAACGGCTTAAAGCTTGTTAGAGGGGCTATTAGCAATAATAACGACTAGTACACTTAGTGCAAGCACAAACACACTAACGCTAAGTACTATAGGTAATACCCTAACATAGTACTACCTAGTTAGGGAAAGAAAGATAAGAGTAAAGATAAAGATAAAGACAAAGGCAAGAAGGGGAAAGGCAAAGGAAAGGGCAAATCTAGTAGTGCTATTAATAATAACAAAGATAAATTAGACACCTCCTCTAACTCGGAAGACGAGGGAGACTATTAGCTAGACGGCCTTAGTAGGGGCCTAATTAGGGGAGCTATTACAAAGCCGGGACTAGCTATAGCAAGCTCTAAGAACCTAATAGCTAATACAAAAGTTTAGGACATAGGTATATTATAGCACATTATAGGAAACAAGAGCTAGTTTAGCGATCTCAAACACCTAACTAAGCCTATTTAGTTCTCCTAAGCAGTAGGAAAATCAAGTATATTACGATTAGGAACTATTAACATCTTCCTAACCTATAAAGGAAAGGAAACCTTAATTACTTTAATAAATGTCCTCTACTCCCCGAACTCGGATTGCAACCTAATCTTAGGCTAATTCTTAGCAGAGCGTCTTTAGAAAAAATGTAGCATTTACTTAGACAGACCTTTAGGCACTCTAATACTTAAAGGCAAGCTAATTAGAAAAGTTAAGGAAGTATAAGGAGTACTTGCCCTTAAAGATGCTAGAGTTAAAATGCTAGGCTTAGCTTTAAAATTAAACTTAGAATCGAGTTAGAAAGGGCAGCTATTAGCCCTAGCTATCGCTAGACTACGAGCGGATACATTGAGATAGCATTAGAGACTTAGCTATATTAGTAACAAGATCCTAATAGCTACTAAGGAAGCTATTCTAGGCCTAAAAGAAGTTAATACATCTAAACTCGAGCACTATAAGACCTATAAGCTCTCGAGAGCTTAAAGAGTTGTATTAAGAGAATATAGAACTAGACTAGAGAAAGCCCTTAACGAAGTCTATATTAACCTTGTTAGCGTACAACTATTTGATCTGTTTAGAAACAGGTACATTATAATCCTAACTAATAACAAAACTAGGCTTAGGTAGGGTCTATTACTTCGTAGCAAAGACAAGGTAACAAGTAGTAACAAGCTAACTAGCTAGATAACTAGAATTAAGAGGTAATACAACAAAATCCCTAAGATTATCTTTAGTAATAGCGGGGGAGAGTTTACTAATAATAATCTAGTACATTTTATAGGGGAAGTTAGCATTAGATAGGATGTGTCTACACTATATATACTAGAGCAGAATAGCATTATAGAGTCGTCTAACAAAACGATTCTACTTAAGGTAAGAGCAATAATAATTGACTCTAGCCTGCTAATGTACTACTAGTGCTTTATAGTAATGCATTCGATTTACCTAACTAATAGACTAGTAAACTTGAGAACTAAGGAAGTCCTACTTAAGGCTTTCGAATTAGACTTAAATATTGGCAGTATAGACATTAACTTGTCTAAGACGTGACAATTTAGCTATAAGGCATTCAAATACCTAGAATTTAGGGTTGAACGACTTAACTCCTAGAAATTTGCACTAAGAGCTTTCGTTTACTAGTTTATTAGATTCTAAGAAAATTCATTAATAAACTATCTACTTTAGAACCCGTACTAGAAGGATAGCGTATAGCAGCATAATATTAGATTCTCTCTATACGTTATCTTTAACGAGGACTTTGTCTATAAAGACAATTTTACTAAGCTTCTAAGTACCCTTTAAGCTTAGGGGGAGTATTTAAGACTAGCTATCCCTTAGGAGACTATTTAGGTACTTAAAACCTAGTCTAACCTTTTATTTAAGTTAGGAATTCTAGCACTATTCCCTAATAACGACTAAACACCTTAGTACTCTTTAGAACCTTAGGGGGAGCTATTTAGAGGTAGCATCCCTTAGCCTTAGTAGGCTTATAATTAGGAAGATTAGGAAGACTCCCTTATAGCTTAGGGGGAGCAAGGTATACTCAAGTAAGGAACACCACCTTAGCTAACACCTATAGCTAATAAGCTAACACTCCAAAATCACTAACTAGAACTACTAGTTACCTAGTAGGAAGCTGCTCCTAAGAAAAATTAGCAAACTTAAGAAACAGATACTACTAAACTAGAAGACACCCTAATTACTCCCTTCTAAGTCCTTAAGACTACTAGTAAGAGAAAGAGAGCTCCTAACCTATCTTAGCTAAACCCTCCTTAAGCCGAAGTACGACTTAAGTCTAGCAGAGCCGTAGCTAAGCATAACTATAGCAAGATTACTAAGATTGCTATAGCTGCTACTACAAAAGATGCTTAGAAGCTAGCTAACCTAACAACCCTAGCTGAAGCCCTAAAAAGGCCTAACTAGGATAAATAGAGAAAAGCCGTTACAAAAGAGATAAGGTCTCTTAAAAAGTCTAGTATAATTGAGTAGATTCTAGCCGAATCCCTACTAAAAGGCAGAACACCTCTAATAGGAAAATAGGTTTTTAAGATTAGATACCTGCTAGATAGCTCTATTAACAAATATAAGGCAAGATAGACAGCTAGAGGCTTTATATAGAAGCAAGGTCTAGACTATGTTAACACCTATGCTCCTATACTAAGAGTAGCTACTACCAGACTTATCCTTAGGCTTTTAGTAAACAAAAACTAGAAGCGAAGATAGGTTAATGTCGAGACCGCTTTCTTAAATCCCCCTCTAGATAAAGAAATTTTTATTAGACCCTTAGAAGGCGCGTACCTGTTTAAGAAGCACCCTCTAAAGTAGATTATCCGTGTTAGAAAGGGATTGTATAGCCTTAAGCAGGCTACTAATCTCTAGTACTATAATGCTTTAGACACTCTTCGTTAACTTAGCCTAAGTAGGACAAAGAGTAACTATTACCTATAGTAAGGTAATAGTATTCTTGTCCTCCTCTATATAGATAACTTCTAAATCTTTAGAACCTCTAAGGCAAAGATTAATGCTCTAATTGAAGGTCTTCGTATAAAGTATACAATTAAAGTTATTAAGTCTAACCTGTTTCTAGGCCTTTACCTAAAGGAAGACAAGGAGGGAAACCTTACTATCTCCTAGACACACTATACTAAAGAGAAACTTTAGAAGCATAGCTTAAACTAGTGCAAGCTAATAAAGTATCTACTTAAGAAGCTTTACGAGCCTCTTACAACCCCCTATAACCGTTAGGACTACTAGCTATTTAATACTATAATTAGTAAAATGCAGTTTCTAGCTAACTAGACTAGACTAGACATTAGCTATGCTATTAACTACCTTGCTAGGTTCCTCTAAAATCCCGGACCTAAGCATGTTATAGCTGCTAAACATCTCTAGAGGTATATTGCTAGTATAGCTAATAA